CTCTCCGTGTACTCCGGCTTCCTCCCACCATCCAAAGACATGCAGGCTAGGTTAATTGGTGACCCTAAATTGTCCTTAGGTGTGAGTGAGTGTGACTGGGTGTTTGTCTATGTGTGGCCCTGCGATGGACTGTACACCTGTCCAGGGTGTACCCCGCCTTTCGCCCGATGTAAGCTGGGATTGGCCCCCCACAACTCTGTATGCAGGATAAGCGGTTGACGATGGGTGGCTGTTTAAAATGAAAATCTCTGGCATGTAAAAGAACAGATGACATGACTCAAAATAAAGTAAGGGGATTTTAAACTGTGACTGCATTTTTTAATGTGCATTGTTTTCTTTTGTGTGTAGATAATAGTGAAAAGTAACAGCATGCGCAACACCAAATCTTAAACACTGTATCAGGGGCACAGGTGCAAAATGCAATCTGAAATCATGGATCTAAAAAAAGAAGGCTAATGTTACTAAGTTCACATATTTGACTCACCTTGAGTTTGAGTATACTATCCAAGAAAAGGGTTTCTTTTGTTTAAGGCCAGGCAGACTATTTTACAATCAGGGGATAAAGAGGGAACATTTCTGGCTTGGTACATCAAACAGAAAGCTCAAATCTTCTTTAGCAGCGGTGAGGTCTAGTGGCAGGAATTTACTAAGTCTAGTGTGATAAATTACAGATTCAAGAAATTCTATATAAATCTACTTACATCTGCCACAGGCAAGACATAAAATAATTTTTCAACAATTTAATCCTCTCTAAGTGTTGCACAACAAGAGGGCATAGATTCACCTATAAGTTAACAGGAGATAATTGAAGTGGTCAAGGCCCTTCCAACAGGCAAATCCCCTGGTCAGGACAGCTTTAGGGTTGAATTCTTCAAATGCTATGCTGAAGACCTCAGGTATATAAGTTTGATCTCAGTTTATTGTCAACTGCTATGTAAGATACTGGATAACAGATTAGACGACGTAGACAATGTGAGCGTGTGCAGTGGATTTTGACTGCCAGCTATATGCAGCGTGCTAGCCTCAAAACCCCCGTTGTTAAGAAATTAAACATTGCAAAAAACTAATCAATGTTGAAAGCGAGTATTTACAACGTTGATGAGAGGACTACGAGGGACTATCCTAGGCACAAAAAGAGAAAATAACTCAATGAGAGTTACTTTTGAGAATAGCGGTGTTATGAGTTGTATTTTTTCCCCTGTGGGTTTCTGGGTTTTGCCATTGCTTCATGTATCCTTCTGTTTTGCCTCTGTTTCTCTCGTTTAGTTCATGTTTAGTGTTTACTTTTGGTCTATGTACTTCTGTGTTATTTTACCCTTGTCTGATCTGTGTTCTGTTTAATCTCAGTTCAGTCTGTTGTCCCTCTTAGTTGGAGTTTATTGGTATATTTGTGATCTGTCTGCTTGTGTTCTGGATCAGTTATTTATATCTGTTTCTTCCTGGTTATTAGTTTCCCTATGGTTTTATTAGTTCCCTCTGTGTTCCTCTGTGTCTCGTTAGCCTCAGGTCTTTCACCTGTGTTGCTCCCGACCTAGTCATTATCCCTGGTATATATGTGTGGTCTTTCTGTTCAGCCCTTGTCCGGTCATTGTAGCGTGTAGACGCTCTGTCTCGCGTTGTATCGTTTTGCCTGACCTGCTCGTCATGTCACCCTGTTTCTGTGGATTTGGATTTCTGTTTGGATTACCTTGGTTTTTGGACCCTGTTTATCAGCCACTCTGCCAGTAAGTGTGCTCGCCTTTTGTTCGTTGAAATAAACCTTTTGTACTATACCTCCTCTGCTAGGCGTCCTGCATTTGGGTCCTCCAGCCTTCTCCACACCGCAAACAAGCGATCAGGTAAACTTGTGTTCTCTCCTCTCAAAGTCAGATGTGAACAGCATGTGTATCTGCATTGAATCTCTCCCTGTCTTGCCAAACCAGCGGAGCAGCCGTCGTGCAACGATATTTATAAACCGCAGGGCTTGATGCAGCTGAAAACATTAATATCTTGCACGTATTGATATTTATAATTTACAGGGACTATGCTGAAGTTTGTCAGTAGAGTAGATGCTGGATCATAAGCCAGTACAAGCACAGATAATCAAAATCCAGGACTAGCACAGACCCAGTCCAGACGTTTTTGCACTGAACAAAATTAACAATGGAACACTTGTTTCTGCCCCCATTCATCATGAGCTGAACTTTCTCTATGTACACACATGTACACTATTTCTCTCAAATCTTGTTCACAAATCTGTCAAAATTTGTGTTAGTGAGCACTTCTCCTTTGCAGGGATAATCCATCCACCTCACAGGTGTGGTATATCAAGATGCTGATCAGACAGCGTGGATATTGCACAGGTGTGCCTTAGGCTGGTCACAATAAAAGGCCTTAGGCTGGTCACAATAAAAGGCCACTCGAAGGTCATACAGACCCAAGTGAAACACAAGCAGCCTCAGCCAGACGTCTACAGGCAGCATCAGATACAAGCAGCTCAAAACCCTAATGGAGGGTTGAGTTAGTGCGCAGAGGTCCATTAAAATCAGCAATAGTGTGTTCTAGAAGAGGTTTCCATTCAGGCATATTACAGAGACCGACTGTTTTTTAAAGGAGAGGTAGTTGTTAGAGCACTGCAGTGTCAGGTGTGACGGTGCAGCATTGACAAATTGTTTACATGGCTCACAAGTCAGGTCTGATGGCCCCATAGCAGAATTTATCTTTGGTGGTACCATAGGTGTGTGTGCTTATGCTCTGCGTCTGTCCCAGTGCTTTTGGATAAAACTGAATCATTCTCCAAGCTGTTTGGATATAAGGTTAATTAGTCTTAGTCAGAGGCTCTACCACTGACATGTTACTTACCAAAAACTTTATTTCAGGCTGGTATAAAATGTCTTGCTATTATCTTTCCTAGTCAAATTAGTAAAGTAATTGGTAGGTAAAGGTAGTCACCATTTATCTTATCATTAAGGATGGCATGGGACTCGCTTAACTAGTATTGTAAGATTCTGCCTTAGACATATAGCTCAATCGACATTGCCAACTTGACGTGGAAGGGCACCTCCCTAGTATGAGTGAACTCCCCACTTGCCCCTATAAATGCTCCATCTAGCAAAATAACCTCACCCAACCGTAGTCAACCTCTACATTGTATGGAAGAAGATCTCACAAATCCGTGTATGGTTCGTTCTTTGATTATTTCGTTTCAAAACCAAATCAGAAAAAACAAGACGTTTTTGACAAAATGGTAAACAAAAAACAGATGACAATGGTGTCGTCTATCGACCCAACCCTAATCTCCTAGTGACTGCGGTGAATATGATTGTAGAAGTGAGCACTATATAATAAATAGAAATGAAAGAAAATGTAGGCTACGTTTTAGCAAGATCATGTCAAGCTGGGTTCGAACTCACTAGGGCAAAAACAGTTCCTCTTTGAGGTGCGTTGCTTTGCCAGCAAGCCACTCAAACACTCAATTCTTTTATTTCCAGTCAACTACTAATTACGTTTGTCAGCATCCAGTAGCATTTTATTTTGGGCTGATCTGAAGCAGCTGGTTACCTGAGCGATCTAAGAAAATACCCGATATGTTTATCAAGTTTTTTTTCTCGAGGCCACGGCCAGGGTGTGAACTACGCAGCAAGAGGCACAGTCAGCCCCCTCTTTGAGGCACGAGCAAACAACCCCCCAACAAAGAGCCCAGCATGGTGTGGTATTTAAATAATGAACGAAAATTACCCAGTTCATTTGTTCATTTACAGCTCGCCGAATTAACTAATTCCAGTTCATGTTTGCTGTGTACCATTGGATGTACTGACAGCTATCACTGAATCACCAACAATAAACTAATTTAATACTGAAGAAATCTTAAAAACCTGAGGATTCTCAGGCAACTTCGGAGGAGTTCCTGTTCCAGTCGCTAGTGAGGTACAAATTGAATGCTGAGCCTCCTATTGTGTTTTTGTTTTTATTTTGTTTTTTCTTCTAACTAAAAACGCACTTATGTTGATGATCAAGCTCATCTTAATTACATTTAATCAGACAACGCCCTCGCCATATTATCTGCTGCAGGTTTGTTTAACACACAAAGCTACACAAATGGGACACATTAAATATCAAAATCAATATTTTCCATTTTGGCTTTAAAACAGAAAAACCAAAACCGATGTTATTATTTTGTTGTTGTTCATCTGTTTTGTCGTTTTTAAAATTAACGATTCGGTTTTGAAACAAAATAATCAACACGGATTCTCAAGCTTATCATGTAAATGTTTATCTTAAAGCCTTTATTTGGAATAACCATTTTTATGGAAGGTCTGGTTAGAAAAAGGATCTAATATTAGCAGATATGAGGGTTTGGTCTGAAGTAATTTGAGAGGTTGGTTACTGAATCAATCTGTTCAAAAGTATAGTTTCTGGAAGTAGCCTACATGCAACTCCCACACTTGCTAGTCTGGGAAAATCTCACCTCAACAGTCAGATCTTCTCTCTCAGACAACAAAGATAATGGGTCTGGACATGAAGTGTCTATTTATTATGCAATGATTTTCCAGCAGCAAAAGTTACCGTATCTTATGCTTTGAAGTTAACTCGGACAACATTAAACATTGATATCACAGAGAGAGTGTGATCATATCAGAGATGGGGACTCGAGTTAGAGACTCGGACTTGAGTGCGACTTAAGTCGCGCACACACAGTGACTCCAGACTCGACTTGAGACTTGTAATCAAAGAGACTCAGACTCGAGGTGCGGGACTCGTGGACAATGTTTATTTTTAGGGAACATCTGATGAGCTTGCCGTTATTCCCCTCCGTCTGTTGCCATAACCTGCCTACGTAACACGTAGCATCTGCTGTGCGCGGCCGCACGTGAGAGGACAACAAACACCGGCAGCTGCTGAGCCATTCATCATAAACTTTGGCTTTAAAACTTCATACAACAAGACCCAAACAAAGACGTGCTGAATGCAAATAGGTCAGTAACCTGTGGTGAGTAAACATGTTTAGCTCAGCATTGGCCATCTAACGTTAGCTTGCTTCTTGCTTCAGCTACGACCGGCGAGAGGTAGCCTAAACTACGACTGTTGTTCGTTATGAAAAGATGAATGAGCGTTTGTTCACTTGCCAAACCTGTGGTGGTCGATTAACGTAATCATTACGTCCCTGTCAGCTTAATTATTGCCGTTGGCTAGAAAGAGGTTACAGGTTTATTGTTGACCATGTAACTTTTAAGTTTTATTTAGTCATAACTTACACTGGGTTTGAGAGTCAACAGGGTTTGTTGACTTACAGTAGTTTAGACACATTGTACATTAGGCTACATGGTTGTGTTGAGCTGTAAGTTAAAAACAGGTTACAGGTTTATTGTTGACTATGCAACGTCAGTTTTATTTAGTTAACATTATACTGGATTTAAGAGTCTGGGGAGTGCGTTGACTTACAGTATTAAGCTGTCAATAATTGCATTGCACATTACATGGTTGTGCTCTGTAAATGAAAAACAGGTTACAGTTACAGAATTCCTTATAGCCATGCAGTTTTATTAGCAACCTGGAACGCAGCAGGTGATACAGCATTCGTAATAACCACCAGAGACTTGACTTGGACTCTAGCTCAAAGACTTGTGAGCATCTCTGGATCATATTTGTTACGAGGGTATCAAGGTTGTTGGAAGTGCTGCAGTGTTGAAGGGAGTCTTCTTTTCCTGCTCTGGGAATGTCACATTATTCAGAAATACTGCCGAAAGGTTCATGACTGTTTATAAAAACATTACCGGCGCCAACTGCTCTGCCCGCGGTTATGTTCTCATTGATCCACTGAGGACATCTTAATGTAGAGTCAAGGACTTTATTCAGACCAATGTCTAAACATGGCTGTCAGGCCACACAGCTGTCCACACAGATGAGAGGTTTCATCATCTTCATTCAATCTGTCCACAGAGGACTCAGGCAATGGAGGCCCAGCTGCTACATCTAGTTTTCACTCTTTTGTAGACATGCCCCACCACTTAACCAGAGCCACCGCCCAACGCAGAGATCCCAACGCGGAGGGGCGGCAAGAAGGATCAAATGCACCAAATTCAGATGGCGGTGAAGGACTTGAATGTCTTCAACCTCTCAATGGCTCCTGACTCCTGATGATCAGTATTGTTGAAGGATTTATATTTTGATCCTTTTAGATCTGTTAAACTGCCCTGCGATGGACTGGCGACCTGTCCAGGGTGTACCCGCCTTTGTCAGCTGGGATTGGCTCCAGCCCCCTGCGACCCTGTACGCAGGATAAGCAGTTGACGATGGATGGATGGATGGAGATCTGTTAAACTAGAGTTTCTTGAGAAAATACCTTCCCCATCCCTTCCTATGCAGCATGCCCCTCATTCACCTGTTGACGCTATACATATTATGCCTAATTTGAAATTCAAAAGTATCTTTACTCTCCCAGTCCCATTCCTCAGTGGCCACTTTCTATAGGTTAATAGTCCAGGAGATCTCATCCTTGTTCAGAACTGACAAGAATAAAGGTCTCTTCACTTTATCCTTAAAAGAGCGTCAAGCACCTGATAGTTTGTCCACTGATAATTATATTGTTGGAGGACTGCCAAGAAAGGAGGAACAGTTGTGGTTCTAAATGAGGACAGCCAGGAACCATGACTTGTAAATGCTCCATACTTGTACACTACATCAGCATTCACTCACTGAGCCTAAGTGCTCAAACAGAAACTAACATTCACACACACTGCAATCTGGGGTAATTGGGGGTTCGGTATCTTGCCCAAGGACACTTCGACATGCAGCCTGGGGGAGCCGGGATTGAACCACCTTCCGATTAACAGCCAACCCGCTCTATCTCCTGAGCCACAGCCGCCCCAGGCAATCGGTCCCACTGACTGGATATTTTGCCAATTAGAATGCATATTTCACCATCAAAAATGTACATTTCCCAAACTATAATGGACAGTAACTACTTTTTACTGGTTTATATGCAAACATTGGATAATAAAATCAAAGTATCCAAAATCCTCGTTTGGTTTAAAAGTAGCAGTCTTCACATTCTGTCTGTGTTTGGGTCTTCTATCATCTTTATGATATTTCAGATTTTACTATTTTATTAACATTAGATGTGACTAGCCTTTACACAAACATACCACATGACTTCTTTTTACAGAATTGACAATACTGTCAATCCCCGTAATTAGTTCATACTTACTTTGGCAGAGTTTGTTATGAAATATAATTACTTTTGTTTTGTTAATGACTTCTAGCAACAGACATCTGGCATGAGCACTAGAGCCTGACCAATTTATTGTTATGAAGATACTATTGGCTGGTATGAGCTAATTGCAGATAAATCTGTATCAGCGATTATAACAGCCGATTTATGACTATTAAAGAATGAGTCGGATCCTTCACTTATGTCACGAGTGCGGCAAAGTTTGCCCACCAGAGAGCGCTCTGCAGATCCCCTGTTAACAACACTGCAACACCACAGAAAATTCAGCTGACCGGGGTCCTCCGGGAGACAACGGTGGCTGTGTTACCAGTGAGTTGGTCATTCGTCACGTGAAATACCAGACTTAAATACTAATGAAAATAGCCCTTGTCCTCTCCCGAAAACATTCATGACTTGCTAACCCTCTCTTTTCACTGCCCTCTCCCGGCTCACAGCAGTAACATTACGTTTAATGTTACATTGAGTGGTGAAGGCTACGCTGTCGACAGCAAGATTGTAGATTTATTTCTGAAACAGTGTGGCAGTTTTAGTGAACTGTCCTCATTTCTCCCTAGTTCATCACTGCAATACTTTCTCTAACAACACTTAAAGCAGCTAATGCTGCACATTGATAGATTATCCACAAAGCTAGTTAATGCTATGTGTATCAGGGGAATAGTGTTTACACTAATGAGTGGTTAAAGTATAGCGTTTGTTTAGATAATAAGACAGTGTCCTTTATGGCTTGGATTCTGACTATAGGACACTGTGCTGGTGGCAGGTTCACCGGCACAGCTGGTCCTCTGTATATGGAATCTGTATCTTTCTTCTGCAGGTAATAGATACTTTTTTCCAAAGAAATTGAGGTTCCACCAATGCTATTGTATAACTCTACAATATACAACTTAAATCATACACTAATCGAAGGTAGATTTGTCTCTATAAAATGTATAGTGTAATCTTTCAGATGCCTTAGCGTGTCAAGCCCTTGAAAGAGGGTGACAGCGTGCAGATATATACTGTATATCTGCAATTTGAAACTTGTTAGATCCGCAACTCTGCAGATAGACACACTGATCCAACTCTTTCGCCTTAATTCACTGACGCTGTTAAGAATGATACTTTCTTTTATGGATCCCAGAAAGCATGATTTCAATCTCTGAATTCATAATTTTTTTTTTTACTCTTTGATGTGAACAAAAGAGTAATTAGTGATTAAGGACTGCAGGGTGAAGAGAGCTGGACGTTTCAAATCGATTAATATTTAGACATTATTTTTCCATAGCAAATATCCATGTGGTTATTAGGAGACCATGACCCAACTGCAAAGCCTCTACACTCTCCATTCAGCTGGGGACCTGCTGGAGGTCCCTCAGGGGGCTGTCCTTACCCTTGGGAAATATGTTCAGTGTTATCAAAGACCAGTTTTATATTCTGCTGGGCTGTGTCATTCATTCACAGGCTAGGTTGGGTTGTTGGTAGTTCTTCTGTGCCAAGTTACCGCCAGAGAAGCAGCTACTGGCAGATAGACAGCCACGTTGAGAGATGTTTCTTTTTTTTGAGGAGGTCCATTGCATTAAATATGAATTGTACATGTGCTCAGACACAGTCATTGTAATGATGGATACAAATTGACTGTGCCTGTACCCATATTAACCTGCATGCAGCATGGTATAGACAGCTATCATTAAATGGAGTACAAAATGTGTTAGATCAATCAAATGACATTGCAGTGGCTTGATGGTTTAATGCAGTTCTATATTCAACACAGCGGAACCTTTATAATGTATTGGCTGCATTCTGCAGAGTGGGAGAGACAGTGAGTGCATCCTTCATTCACACGAAAATTCGGGTCCTTATTAGGCTGACTGAGTGGTTCACTTAACGCTTAGTTTACATTTCCTGTCTTTACTCTTGCTCTGGTTCTCCAGGTGTCTCCAGGATGATTACTGTGTGAGTGATTTCTACACTCGTTACCATCTGGGTAGGAGGACTGGCGTACGCAGCCTTCTCACCGCCAGACCATCTGCAGCCCACAGAATCACGCAGCAACCCATGCATGAGCCACTGTAACATAGATGGAGCAGCTGAGAACCACGAACTGTAAATAAATACAACCATGTTAAATACAGAGGTTTGGCACATCATCATTTAGAAGACACAATTGTAGTTCTCTATTCAGTTTTTCCAAAGCATGTCTGCATGCTAGACCACTTTCTGTAGGATGCATTTTATAACTTTTTCATTCTAATTTGTATATATAGACTTACAAGTATTTGGGTGTTTATATAGACAGCTCACTTACTTGGAAAACTCACACGGAATGGGTTTGCACACGGCTGCACCAGAAACTATATTTTTTACGTAGATTACGTTTTTATGGGGTGAATAAGAAAATTATGATGCTGTTCTACAAGGCTGTTTTAGAAAGTATTGTTAAGTATGGTGTTACAGTATGGTTTGGGAACCTATCTATACAGCTAAAATCCAAATTGTCACATCTGGTGTTGACAGCACTTAAAACAGTTGGAAATGAGGAATCTTTGAATCTCCAACAGTTATTTGAGAATAGCATTTTAAATCAGGTGCAGAAAATTGTGGGGGACCAAACTCACTTTCTGCACTCTCAGTATGAATTGCTCCCCTCCGGCAGAAGATATAGAGTTCCACTGTGCAAACTAAACCGGTATAAAAATTCTTTTGTTCCTGTGTCTACACGTATGTTGAATAACAGTCTATCTTATTACTTTTAAATTTGTAAATTAATTGTCTTTCCTCTTTCTATACTTTTTATACTTGTATATTGTATATTTTTATGTACATGCAGCAACCATGCAGTCCAAAACAAATTTCCTTTCGAGGACAATAAGTATACTACTACTACTACTACTACTACTACTACTATATCACATATACATTATTATTCTGACTTTATTTCATTTTTAATAGGTGAGTGAGTTATGTTTCAAAATGTTTAATTTCTGTTTGTGACATTATGTAAATTATAGAATAATAATAAACATAATAATAATTATAATCCTGGTCTATGTACAAGGCCATCAGTCATTATGTTTAACATGTGACAAAGTTGTTGCATTAGTGAACACATGGTGCTTTGTTATGGCTGATATTGTGGATACAGTCATGCTTTAACACACGCTAACACACAAATGGATTTGGTTAGTTTAAAGTCAAACTCTTGATAAGAAAGATTTTACCATTATTCATGTTCATGAATAAATATGACAGATTTTAGTTGTTTCCACCAAATAGGTCATACACGAGACTAAAATGATAATGGGTCTCAGTCAGTCTGTTGAATAAGATTATGGGTTCTCAGTAGACCAGGAGTACAGTTAGAGCACATAGAGGCGAGCACCTGTATGTGCTCGCCTACATAAACTGGTTTTAATAAAAACAGATTTTGTGGTGAGACCAGAAGGACAAGCGTTTTTAGAGCATTCCAGGGGTGATATGTCAAGATGGAGATGAAAAGTAAGGTGAGAGATGGAATCTGGTTATAAATTGTTGTTGGTTTAGGTTTTAAACCAATATTGCTGACTGTTTTTTGTTTTGCAGTAGTTTTTGTGATATCTGTTTCAGATTGAGCTTTATAAACTGTAGAAATCAGCAGTCTTCAAGGTCTAACACTGATCAGGCTTTTAAGTTTTGTAAATAAGTTCATATAATTTGGGGGCTTTGGGGATGTTGCCATGGACTCGGTTAGTTCTGGCACTATTTATTTTTTTGTCACTGTTTGTTTATATTTTGGCAAGTATGCTGAGTTACCTAAAAGCGGTTTCCATCGCTATGTACCCATGGATGTACAGACAACTGGATTACTTTGATGCTGAACAAAATGTATAAATGTTATGATTCTCAGGCAAGTTCTGGCAGTACAAAGAGCTTTTTTTCTGGGTGGATTTATTAACATTTATTTGCATGTGTATCACGGCTTTGTGTTCAGATTTGACTGAGTCATGGAAGTGTTTATATGTATTTATGGTAAAATTTGGAAGTGGAAAGAGGACTCAGGCTCACATAATCCCGATTCAGCAATGATTTAGAGTTATAAAAGCCGTGGGTACACATGAGTGTTTGTTTGTTTTTGTTTTAATTATTTCAGTTGCAAAAACAAGCACTTTTAGTGGGTGTATGTTGACGGGGTGCAACTGCCCACAAGGATTACACTGTAGCCCTGTTTCACTGCTGCCGACTGCAGCGCGCTCACTCAATACTGGACCAGTTTTAAAAAATGTTGTCCCAATTAGTCACACAGCAAAAAAAGATTGAAAAATACAGAAGTTATACTTTAATAAATGTGTTTTCTTATTGATCCAAAAACAGAACTGTCTCTGCATATTAAGATATACAATTTACAATTGTTATATGCAGTTATTTACATCATAAAGCTTGTATGAAAACCTGATACATACCATAACATACCCCAAGCTCTCTCACGTTTGTTTCTGTAATACCTTTTTTAAAAATAATAATTTTTAATTTATTTTCTTTCCTCTGTCTGTCAACATTTCTTTTTTGTGTGCTCTGGTGCTGCATTTTGCACAGCCAGTAGCCCACTGGACGACAATATAGCCCATGTTTTCTTATATTTCCTATATGGCAATGAAGGAGGTTCAAGTGCTGCTCCTTGACCTTTCTCCACCTAGATCGATTGCTTCTCTATCCTGTTAGAAGAAAAAGAAAATGTATGAAATATCAGCCACTATCAGCTTTGAAATATCTGATTGGGACCACAGTAAGATAGAAGTACAGTGGATATTCAGGAACAGCATCCTGCTGGGAAAACTGATGCGTGCTTGGTGTTTGCTCTTCAATCAGCCAATTCCATGTGGATCAACATTGCAGCAGAGTGAGTGGCACAGTTAACCTGAGGGATTACGTTTGTTATAGACACAGCGGGCTAATGAACTATAAACCTGCGTGAGTAAAGTGAGCTGTGTATGTATCTGTTTGTGTGTAGTGACGCTGAGGAGGCCTGACAGACTTGTCCTCTGTCAGCAGATGGAGGCATGCATAATTCAATCTGGAGGCAGTTTCATGCTGTTTTTCTTCCTGTCTCATCACTGTTCCCAAAGAAAGACAAAGCAGAATTTAGCTACAGAGGAGAAGCAGGGGCTTCAAGTTGTCATCTCTCACTGGCCCAGCAGTTGTCTGCTCCATATTGGTCGTTACCGGGGGGGGGGGCAAAGTCCATCAATGGTCCTATACTGTTTTGTATTTATATTTTACTCTTTGGTTAAACCAATTGCCAGGACAATATTTCTGACCGTTTTTATGCAGACAACACCCACTTGAACATTAGTAACAATCCTAAATGACTATCAAATTCTGTATGTGACTAAAAATTAAAAAATAAATTTGTGTCTTCATGATTCGAATTATGATTAAGGTACAATATGTAAGACACGGCCAGAATTTTAGTTTAAAAATGAACAGTTCTGACATAATGTCAAAGACGTCTGTGTGTTATGTTGTATTAAGTTAGCATGCTAACTAGCTAGTCCCGGCTGTCTTGTAATACCACTTGTGCCTTAAGATGTGATAGTGAGTCACTGCAGCATCCAGTCTGCCCTCTGTCCAACATGAGAGGATAAAAACGTAGAGTTACCCCAAGGGATTGTCTTTCATTGCACGAGCTGTTCTTCCTCGCGCTCCCCGACCTCGTTCCTCCACTACCTCTATTCCCTGTGTCTGACTGGGCAGACTGGCTGTGAAATTGGCGTTGTCCACACAGGAGGAGGAAGCCCCGAAGCACTGCCTGCCTCCTTTCTGCACTCATGTTAACCAATTGGGCTGTTAACACAGACAAGTCAGTATAGGTATAGCTGCAAGCAAATCTGGCAAGAAAACACAACGATAATCTACTATAAATAATATAAATGATACATATGATGTAAATTGATGATGTGTCTCATGCTTGTCAATCCTTTTGATTTCTCTGTCCCTCTCCTGGCTGTTCTGCTGGAGTTTCAATTCCCACAATGAAATATCAAATCTGTTCATCCAATATAGCTACTTAATAGAAATACTATCACTGCTGTTTGTTAAATTTGTTTTTTATTACTAACTTATTACACATATTTCTCAGTTGTGTTTAAACAGAGTCAGAGAGGAGCAGACACACATTGGCAGCCCCTCCCCACAGACATAAAACACAAAGCCATGGTCCTTTAACTTCACTGTTGCAGAAGAAGAGACGCCCACTAATCCTGGAAGACAAAAAGCATAATTCATGACATTATTATAAAGATAAGATCTAACGTCACTTGTGATTAAACGAGAGCAGGGGAGCAGAATCGCTTAGAGCAGTGGTTCTTAACCTGGGGGTCGGGACTAGAGCGTGGTTGAATTTGGAAAAAGAGCGCTGCGTTTTTTTTTTATGTTGCTAGGCAACCACCGAATCAGCTGTCCTGTCAGTCTAATCAAAGATATAGCGCCAGCGATCTTTAAACTTTGGTTTGCTGCTAAGTAATAACGGTCATATTAGCAGA